AAATTTCCAAGAGTGCTGAAACACAGCCAGGAAGCTGAGGAAATGTTGAAGAGCGCTGGAGAAAAACTGCTGGGAGGGTCAGAAGAATGTCAGAGAAGGTCAGGAAACATCAAACCCAGAAAGGCTCTAAACACATGCCTTGAGGTCAATATCATGTCACAGCCAAAGCTTCAAAAATGCCAAGGTTAGAAAACTACTTTGCATTACTTTTTCTATCCCTCTTCATTAGTTTGGCTTTAACATCTACTATTAAGGAGACAAATAGTACAGTAATAGAAATATATTAGCAAGAATGTTATAGTCAGATAACAACTACTTAATAATAAGCATATCATCTACCAAATAGTGAGAATTCTCTGTGTTAAGCATTCTACTGATCACTTCACATATATAAGCTCATTTGATTTCCACAACAATTCCATGGTATTATTATTCCACTTTTCTGATATAGAATCTGAGAATCAAAGAACTTGTGTTAATTTAGTAGGGTTACTCAACCAATGAATGAAATTCACAAACAGCCTTCTAAGCCCATCAGCCTTCTAAGTTCCTTTAATTGTGTTATGGCAGTGACCTTTGCAATTGTCTAACACTGTGAATATATATGATGACTAAATTAACTGTAAGTATAATTTTATTTTTTTCCTCTTATAAGCCAAACCTTAGCACAAAAAGAAAATATTCACCTTATTCTGGTTTATTGAAAGGTTAATATACCTAATATATTTTACCCAATATACATCATCTTGTAGAAGCCTTTATCTTCTCTTCATTGTAATCAATTTTATCTTTCAGGTTTACCAGAATAAAACAGCCTTATCTCTGGAAAAAAAAAAAAGTTAAATTGTACTGTTTAAAATCATTTGAAAATTTGAAATTTTGTTATAATTGTTATAAAAAATATTTCAACCAGTATCATCAGTAACTAGCCAACAAAACTCATGAGAGTCACATGGTGAAACAAGATAGCCCATTCAACTATAGATTCATGAATGGCATGGTTCATAGAAATTAACACAACAGAGCTATGTCTTTGAGCTATGAGATTTATGAATTTTTTAAAAAGCTCTATTCTGATCTTATCTGAACAGATCTATTTTTATTGCTGAAATAGCATGGAATCATATTTATTCTACTTGCACTTGATTACTGAAGCATAATTTTAAATATCTTAAACCATTATATACTATATTAAAATGATGAATGTATTATTTCTTAAAGTTTTACATGTTGAAGTAGCACGGGAATGGCATAGATTTTCATAAATCAATTGCCCATCAATATGATTTAATTCCTCTGAATGATATTTGATTTCAGTTTAATTTAAAGATTCTCAATATATTCTACATTCCATGTACTATTGCATTTCTTAGGGAAAAGGACAAATAATTTATGGTACTTTCCTCTAAAAAGCTTTTATACTAAATGAAAGACAGGTGATAGGCAAATTTTTTTAATGTAATAAATTACATGGTAATATAGAGTCTATAAGAAGTGCTATCACATGGGAGGGGCTAGGAACTTAATTTTAGGAATTTTGATCCCTTTCTAATAGCTGCCTTGCAGAATAAACTGATAACACGTTATCTATTGTTATTTTTTATATTCTAAACACAACTGGCTACTGATAATGTTATTTATGTCATGTTTTTCATCAGACCAGACTGATACAATTATTTAATCTGTTCACTGCAGTAACAGACAATAGAACAGATTTTTGTACACAGTGAGGGGAACTATATCCATTATATCCACCACTAGAACCTTATACTTATCACAGTGCTTAGATAAAGTCAGTGATCAGGAGATACTTTCCGAATGGATAAAAGAAGGAATGAATTGAAACTATCAAAATAGTAATCTCATCCCAAAATCTCACCCTCTTTGGAAAGAGCTTAGATAATGAAATACTCTTAATATGTAGAGTTTCCTCTTATTTCTTTCAATTGTTAAAAAAAAAAGACCAAATCTTTAATACTGGTATGGATAGAATTATTATACTAATATATCCAAAACTCAAATGATAACAGAGAAAATCACTAAGCATATTTAAGCATAAGTGAAAAATGATTTGAAACACTCTTAAATTCTACAGAACTACTGAAGATTTTACTTGCATGATATGCTTAAAAATATTCTAAATATCTCAGAGAACTAAAAACAAAACAACAGTGCGCTCTGTACACATTTGAGCAATTTTTTTTACAATACCCAGAGCAAAGATATAATTTAAGAAGGGCATGAGTCATTCCTGGGGGTAGAAGAAAATGAAGGACCCAAATTTTCTTCCCTGTTTTATTCTTAACATTTCAACCAATAGAATATTACAGATCATTGGTAATGGCTTAAAGCTGAATTATAAGACTCATTTTGCTCCAGGCACACTATCTTTTGTTTTATTCCTCCAAGTCTCTTGCTTTCCCTTTACTTCTAAACCCTTGTATGTGGTTCTATGAGAAAACTCTCCCTTGATTCCTTCACTAATTGAAATACACTTTTCCTCTAAATGTCAAGACAAAAACATAACCAACTAAGGAAAAATTCCCTGATCTAGATCAGCCCTCCATGATTTTAAACACTTATAACACCATAAAATATTTATAGCATGTATCACAGTTTCTGAAATACATATTTATTTGCTTACTCAGGTAATCAGAATCTCTCTTCTACAAGCTTTAAGTAATGTGTGAACAGAGATGATGCAGTAGGCAGAGTAACGGTCCACAAAAATGTCCACGTTCTAATCCCTGGAACCTGCTAATATGTTACATGGCAAAGGGGAATTAAAATTGCAAATAGAATTATGCTTGTAATCAGCTGACCTTAAAATAGGGAAACTGTTCTGGATTATCAAGGGGTGGAAGTCATGTAATAACAAATGTCCTGATAAGTGAAAGAAGGAGGTGGGAGAATCAGTGTCAAAATGATTCAGTGGGAGAAAGACTAAACTGAACATTGCTGGTTTGAAGATGCAAGGTGACCATGAGCCAAGGAATATGGTGGAAAACATAAGAAAACGGGTTTTCCTCTAGTGCCTCAGAAAGGAACGCAGCTCAGCCAACAACTTGGCTTTAAACCAGTGATAACATATTTGGCTTCTAAACTACAAAAGTATAAGATAATACATTTTGCTGGTTTTAGCCACTAAGTATGTTGTAATTTGTTACAGCAGTCCTAGAAAGCAAATAGATATTCTCAGAACCTAGTGCATGCCCGGCACATGGTGTTTGATACTATTTGTTTAATAAACAAATAGATAATGAGCTTGAGGGATGTGCTACATCTATTGCATGGTATTAAGGTCCCAATATTTTCTTCTCATTCTATTTATACGTTATTTTGAGTCACAAAACATTAAAAAAAAAAAAACAGAAAATTTTACAATCAGTATTTTGGAGTTGGAAAATTATAGGTCACATTCTAAAGCCTGCATGTATGGCAGATGTAGAATGAGAGTCTGCACCAGCCACCTTCACCAGACTTTGTATGAACTTTTGTTTTGGCTCCCTGAGTGTGGGCAGTGAGTTAATATGAAGGATATATAGCTGGTCAAGTACTGAAACCTTTTTCAGAAGCCAAATGTGATACACTTTTTGCCTCAAATTAAATGACTCCTATTATCTTGGAGTGACTATATTGAAACTTTTTTTTAAGATTTTATTTATTTATTTATTTATTTATTTATTTATTTATTTATTTGAGAGAGAGAGAGAGAGAAACAGCATGAGAGGGGATAGGGTCAGAGGGAGAAGCAGGCTCCCCGCTGAGCCGGGAGCCCGATGCGGGACTTGATCCCAGGACTCCGGGATCATGACCTGAGCCGAAGGCAGTCGCTTAACCAACTGAGCCACCCAGGCGCCCTATATTGCAACTTCTTATTTCACTTGTGTTTTCTCATTTACTACAATCCTGTGGGCCACCTATTTCTAATCCTATTTTCAATGCTATTAATTCAGGCTCAAAATAGCCTGGGCATGGTGATAATAAAAAGCAGGCCAACTTTTTGTTGACTTGATTCTTTTTACCTTATCTACAGACAGTGCTCTCCCTCCCTCTCTCTCTCAATAGCACTATGATGTGGGATTTAAATCCAGGCTCACTGAATTCAACATCCAGTTTTCTTCAATCATAATCATGTCTTCTTTCTGGAATTAGGCTGCTTGTGTTTAAATTCTTTTCACATTTGAACTTGCCCTTTCTCTGCCTCAGTTTCGTCACCTATAAAAGGAGGACAGCAACTGTATCTCTCTCAAAGGTTGTTGTTGGATTTAATATATGAAAAAAAAAAAATGCTTGGAATAGCATCTGTCTTAGAAAAGCATTCTGTATAAGTTAGCTCTTATAAGAGCTCCAAAATTGTCACTGGAAAATCTTCTCAGGGAGATTATAGTGTGAGGTTAGAAGAAATATTTTGTTAAACTATATGAGGTGATTGATGAAATAATCCTATGAAGTATGAGTAATAATAGTTTATCTAACATGACTTCTAAAAAATGAGTTGGGTTAGCTAGGAGGTTTTAATTTGCTGTCTAGTGTATTCACATTTTAGGACACAGCTAACTCATTTGAGCCAAATATCTGCATCGAGCTCCATTTGTTGAGCTATGTGACCTGGATTCAAATCCCAACGCTACCACTACTATGTGTGTAACTTTAGGCAAGTTAATTCACCTTTTGATGCCTCTATTATGTCACTTGTAAGATAGGGATAATGATAATACTGACCTCACAGGATTATTTAGTGTTAATAAGTTCATACTTGAAATGTACTTAAAATAGTGACTGTCATATAAGTGACCAATAGTTACTACATATTTTTTATAATATCCCAAGGTGATCTTTCAAGAAATCTTAATTATTCGGGTTTTTTTTTTTTAAGTTTTTAAATTAAATTCCAGTTACTTAACATACAGTGTAGTATTAGTGCAATATAGTGATTCAATGCTTCCATACATCACTCTGTGCTCATCACAAGTGCACTCCTTAATCCCTACCACCTATAAAAACGATGGTTAGAGACCATGAAGTAGGTGGCAATGCCTTAACTGTATGCATGCTGTCAGGCCCAAGGGTCTCTTCCATCCTTGTAAAGGGGAGTGCTAACCTTCTCTCCTTTTATACAACATGAAATCTTACTTGAACAGGAGAGGCATCACTTTCTTTCACAGTAGATTTCTAATGGTTCAAATACCTAAAAGAATAACAACAAACTAAATAGCATATGCTCTTCAGAGCCAAGGTCACCTACCACAAAGCAGACTCAAAATATACTTACTTTACATATTCACTAGCTAGCTAAACTACAAAAGAGAATTTTAAAGGTTTTGTTGTTGAAATTATAAAATTAAAACTACAGCAGTAGAATATTTGTGAAGCCTTTTGTTTCATTTTCTGCTAAATGAAAACAACTTTCAAAAAGTTAACTGGAATGCTTTTATTTGTTTCCTGTCACACATTCTAAATGGCCTTTAAAAGTCAGTAGCTGTTACTCAAGAATAATGAGGTATATTATTCTTTCAATGCACATGTAAATCTCCAATTAACACTAATGGGATTTATGGCAATGAAACCAAAGGGAAACCTACTTCAGTGTCTCAAAATAATCTTTATTTTTGATATCTACCTTTTTACCATCTAAGTGCAGTCAAGCAGAAATAAACAAGTTAGTATTAAGCATCAATTTGACACTTCCATTCATGCTGACATCCTGAAATACTGTCTGTAAACAGTAATGTGTTTTAAAGCAGAGATGTGGCTTTAGATTTTAGTTAAGGATTTATATGTCCCTCCCTCCTCTGCCATTAACATTAAAATTATAAAAAGTAAGCATGTGCAGTCCTAGTATTACTTGAGAAATATAAAAAAGGTGATTTTTTTTAAATATGTGTGGCAAAACATTTTTAAGAACAGTATTTCAGAAGATTATCCTTTTCACGGGAATCTAGAATCCTAATATCTCTTTGAGACAATCATATATCCCTCTTTAGTAAATATTTATTTTTTAGATTTCTATAATTTTAGTCTTCTTCATATAGTGAAATCTTCATAGAAGACAACTTTTAAGTGGAAAAGTGAAATACCATGAAGTTACTACTGAATTGAAATAGCATCTTAAAGAATATATATTTTAAGGTATTGTGAAACCACCTGAAAAAGATATGAGAGCATAACTGAAATAATTATTTTTATTAGTCTAAGTGTAGAACGATCTACAGGGACTCTAGCCATAGACCTCTGGTAGAATTTGAATCTTTAAGATAATTCTACAGACATTAGACTACACAGTGAAAGTGTAAATCCCTGTGTAGAAAGAACAAATAAGCCCAGTTTAATAGAATTCAATCAAAAAATAATAAAAGATATGATAATATCCAGAAAGCACATGTTGATATAGCCCAAACCTATTAATTTGCTATGCAATTATTTGTGTTTGAATGCCTGAATAAACACATCTTCTAGAAAAACTATTTAAAGCAAATATAGCAAGTAAATAGCTTACCAAAACATAGGAAAAATATATTTCTTGACTAATAAAATAGAATATTCCCCTCTAAAAGTCTTGGCTGATAAAGTAAAATGGCCTTCAAACTGAGGTATTTATCTAATGTCTACTCATCTAGAATGTAATCATGTCTAAACAAGGGTTATCATTCTTCTCTAGGTAAAGAGAAGTTGACATTTTAAGAAGCTAACCTATTAAAATAACAGGAAGGTTTTATTTTTTTTTTTAATTTTTTTAAAGATTTTATTTATTTATTTGAGACAGAGAGAATGAGAGACAGAGAGCATGAGAGGGAGGAAGGTCAGAGGGAGAAGCAGACTCCCTGCCGAGCAGGGAGCCCTATGCAGGACCCGATCCCGGGACTCCAGGATCATGACCTGAGCCGAAGGCAGTCGCTTAACCAACTGAGCCACCCAGGTGCCCCAACAGGTAGGTTTTATTTAACATGCCCATTCATCTAAGAAAAATTTATTGACTTCTTAGAGATTAGGCCTGGAAGAGTGCCCAAACCACAGCAGGCACTTGATAAATATTTTTTGAATGAATAAATTAATTAACTAAATTTTCAGAAATCCTATTTGCAACATTAGAAATGTATTTAAGTCTCTCCTGTACCATGACTCTCAATGCCAGACATTAAGGTCAAGATATACTAGCTGGTTTTATAAAGTTCAAAGTGTGATTGGATATATTCAGATGCCTGGTGGCTCAGCTGGTTTACTGTCCAACTCTTGATTTCGGCTCAGGTCATGATCTCAGGGTCCTGAGATGGAGCCCTGCATCAGGCTCCAGGCTGATTGAGGATCCTACTTTAAGATTCTCTCCCTCCCTCCGTGCCTCCCTCTCTCTCTCATAATAATATTAATAATAATAGTGATTGGATATAGAGGAAAAAGCAAATTATCATGATTTAATATAATAAGTATGATGAATATGGGAAATGACATTTGAACGGATTAATGTCATTGCATAACAGTATGTGCATACAGAAAGTCTATTGTAGAATAAAATATTAAGATTTATTTTAAAATATATTTTACATGATCACTTTGTTAATTCATCCCTATATACCATAATCTATCAGATTATGTCAATGGATATTCTTTAGGAAGTCCGATAACACAAAGTATACTAGAAAATGGTTAATCATATTTTTTGTATTCTTTTTGATTAAAGAAAAGTAAAAAATGTGACCTATAGTGTTTCAAAAGTTATACATAAAATTATATTTATTTGTTCAACCTAATGATTACCTTATCATGAAATAAGCAATTTGCACTCATTTTGTTGATGATACTGTCAGTTTTATCATGTGGAATGTTGGTTACTCATAGTTTAGGGGAGTATAAGAGTATTTCTGCTTTTTTGTGTGATCATATTCATGACAACTGGGATTTTATTTACATGTGACTGGTAGATGAAATTGTTTAACACTGATTTATAATCATATGGATTGTTAGCTTCTTACCTTCTAACATGACCATACAACTAATCCTGACTGATAACCTGTTATCTATGCAATGGTTGTATCACTCCAAGTGGTAGGTCATCAGGATCCACTGGACCCAAGTGTCTACTGGACCCAATTTTAGTTTTTGAGTTTCTTTTTTGAAAAGTTCTAACTCTTTGTAAGATGTGATCTTTTATGACATTTTATTGTTTTTTAGCTTTCCTCCAAAGAACAAGAAGAAAATTTATTATTTTTAATTGAATAAAACTCATTCTATCCCATAATTAAAATATACATTCACTGCATCTTTTTATAAATCTAACATACACATTGTATCTTAGTTACCTTATATCGTTTACCCATGGGTTTGAACTATGCAAGTCCACTTATACACAGACTTTTATTTATTTATTTTAATAAATACAGTACAGTACCATAAATGCAGTTTTTCTTCCTCATGATTTTCTTACTAATGTTTTCTTTTCTTTAGCTTGCTCTATTTTACGAATACAGTATATAATAAATATAACATACAAAGAATCTGTTAATTAACTGTATTATCAGTAAAACTTCTGGTCAACAATAGACTATTAGCAGCCAAGTTTTTGAGGAGTCAAAAGTTATACACACATTTTGGACTGCACAGGGGCTCAGCACTACCAACCCCCCTGCTGTCCAAAAGCCAACTGTATTTCCCATACATTGAAATATTTTGTTGTTTAATTTTCCTAAGAATTACTTCATCATTGCTCATTTATTATTCCCAACTATGCTAAAATAAATCTAAAACAAAAAGAAAATGTACCAGAAGAATGATGGAATCACCTAGAAAGATGATACAATAAGAAACTGATCATCTTTCAGCTTTCTTAACATATTGCCAAAATTACTGCATCACCCTCCAAGAATGTATTACATTCTGCCTTTACATTTCACTAGATAAGTTGAAAATTCATAATGTCTCAATTTATCCTTTAGGGGTGCCTGGGTGGGTCAGTCAGTTAAGCGTCTGACTTTTGATTTAGGCTCAGGTAATGATCTAAGGGTTCTGGGACTGAGCCTTGTGTTGGTCTCTCCGCTCAGCAGGGAGTTCAGTCTGCTTGTCTCCCTTTCCTTCTGCCGCTCCATGCTCGCACTCTCATGCTCTCTCTTTCTCTCTCAATCTATAAGATAAATAAATCTTAAAAAAAAAAGAATGTCTTAATTCATCCTTTTAATAGCAAAGAGAAGAAAACAAAGAAGACAGTTTATAATTATTATATGAATCAAAATGAATGCAAAATTATTCATAACAGCACAGTTGACATTAATCATAATAGGGAAATTGATCATATAATTCTGTAAATCATATAGTGCATAACTAAGGACAAAAAGAAAATGTGGTATTTACTTCCAGTTAGTGCCATTCAATGGGAAGAACTTCATCATGCCAAGGACCATTCCATTTTCCCAAAGGAAAATGTGACAATATTAATTCACTTATATTTCTCCTGGTATTCTGAGGGTTAAATAACCACTATATGATCACAGAAAGTCACAGATGAACTGCCCAATATTGGATATTTCAGAGATGCTATCTAAAAAATTTAAAAATGTTTTATGTGTTTTATAGGCATTCAGACTCATAAACATCCATACAACCATGAAGTCACAAAAACTGTCAGAAGTTTCTCAGAAGCTTCTCAATAGGCTTAGTATAGAAATGATTATGTACCTAAAAATATAAAAATATATATCCATTTATTTATTTATTTATTTATTTATAGAGAGGGAGTGGGGGGGGGTGGCAGAGGGGCAGGGAGAGAGAGAATCTTAAGCATGCTCCCCGTCCAGTGTGGAGGCCAACTTGGGGCCTGATCTCAGAATCCTGAAATCATGACCTGAGCCGAAATCGAGTGTCAGATGTTTAACTGACTGAGCCACCCAGGCACCCCACACCCTTCCTTTATTTATTTTTAAAGATTTTATTTATTTATTTGACAGAGAGAGAGAAAGAGCATATAAGCAGGGGGAGTAGGGGAGGGAGAAGCAGGCTCCCCGCTGAGCAAGGAGCCTTATGCGGGGCTCGATCCCAGGACCCTGGGATCATGACCTGAGCCGAAGGCGGACATTTAACTGACTGAGCCACCCGGTGCCCCCACACCCTTCCTTTTAAATGGCAAATAAAATGAATG